AACATTTTTATTCTCCCATTATTTTAATTTTTGGTTAGAGATGTGTTTTTATATTGGTTCTTCTTACAATTACAGGTTGCAGTGGTTTAATATGTTTACTATTTATTCAGTGTTATAGTTGTTTCCCTTAGTTTTACTTCTTTCATAGGATTTTGGTTACTTGTTGTCTCAGTGCTTAAATATTTGTAAATATTCCAAGAGCAATAGGAAATAGTGTATCAAAATATTAATAAATAAACCTGTGAACACGGGCCATGAGACTTCCAAGAGTCAAAAACATCACATCCTCTTCCTGGAGAGGCTGGCTGTGCACAAAGTACTCATCTCTTTCCAGAACACCCTACTGGGCCAACGCATGCAGATTGCCACAGACAATGGTGATGTACTGCCTCAACAAGCGTGGAGGAATGCTATCCATCCTGCTCACCATTCTAACCACAACCATCTGGAATTAGTGCATAACCAGATACATCACCATCACATCAATCTGTGTAGCAGGCAAAGACAACATCCTGGCTGACACCTTCCTTTGCACATGCCTGGACAGCCACAAGTGGGAGCTGAGTGAGATGGTTCTTCAAGACCTACATGACAGGTGGGGATCACAATGGATCTCTTTGCCACTCCCCAAAACACCATTTGCCTCAAATTCTGTTCCAGAGCAGGACAACAGACTGAATCCCTTGGAAACGTGTTCTTCCTCCAATGGGGCAGCACCCTATTTCATATTTTCCCATCATTTCCCCTGATCACCAGGATCCCACCAAAATCCAGAAGGACAGGACCAGCTGCATTTTCATCACCCCATGGTGGCTAAGACAGCCGTGGTTCCCCCAACTCTCCCAGAGGACTCTCTTCTACCTCCTGTGCTCCCACGATGTGATCTTTTCAAGACAAGGGCCATGTTCATCAAAAGGGTATTTGCCTTCTACAAGTCCAGAACTGAGAAACTCTGCCACTCGCCCAGACTGTGCTTAGATGGGCAGAAGGAAGGGGACCCAGTCTCCTCACAGAGGCTATCCAAATGAATCTCCAACACCATCAGCCTCACATACAAAGTAGCTGGCCTTTAACTTGCAACCTAAGGCCCACTTCACATGAGCCCTGCCTATACCCACAGCCCTCTTCACTGAGGACCTTCTCCAGGACATCTGCAGAGCAGCCATGTGGTTGACACCTTTGACTTTTATCAGGCACTCTTGACTAGGTATTTGTGTGAAAACAGATTGCACCTTTGGCAGGGCAATACTGTCCTCCATTCTCCAATTACAACAGCTCCTTCTATTCTCTCCAAGCTAAGCTAGCTAGTTCCCCATATGCGTGATACACAGAGACCACAAAGGTTGATTATCTGTAATTGTCTTTCAAGTGGTTATCTGTGCATTCACACAACCCACCCTCTGGCTTTGCTTGCTGTTGTCCTATATAAACAATGCTTCTTTACTGTCCATGGGTGCTTGGGACCAGAATGGGTTGGGATCCCTCCTCACCTGCTCCTTGGTGCAGAGATCCCTGGTGGCCTCCACAGGAACTGAGGGGATGAGCAGGAACCCTCCCTGTGCTTCCTGAGAACAGGAAGGGGAGGAGCTTCCACCCAAATTGACGCTTAGCTGTAAAAGCCTTTTCCCAGTGTAGGCTGTTTGCAGGCACAAAAGCCCATAAGTGTGAATGCACAGATGACCACTTGAATTACAGTTATAGGTAAGCAACCTGACTTTCTGTTAGCTTCTCAGCAACAAATAGAGGAGATATATCTCTTCCTCAAAAGACTTTTCTAATAACATATATTCTCTTGGATCCTAATGTTGAGGATCCCAAAGCTTTCTCCACCTTTAGATATTGGTTCTTTTTTTTTTTTAACCATATCTAGATACTGCTATGCAGAAACTCTTGTCTGGTTAAGATTTGTGGATACATGAAGCAATCTTCATAGCCTGACTTCAGCATCCTGGATTTGATGTGAATTCATCCTCCAGTTTTTCCATCACCATTAGTCATGTGCAATTCTTAAAAACAAAGACTCCTTGGCTCTTATGGTAGTATGAACAACCTGTGAAAAACTAGAATGCAGTCCATTCAGATTTGATTCTGCAGTGCATATCCATGGTCTTCACATATCCATTCAAGTATTTCCTATGATCTGTTCTCATACCACACTGATGATGACATTCTAGAGTACATTGATCAGCATGCCATTTCAGCATCTATGCATTCATCTGAAAATCTAGTTTTTTTCAGGTATTTGTTGATGTTACTTGTGAAGTTCTGACCAACACATCGCGACCCCATGGACAATGTTCCTCCAGGTCTTCCTGTCCTCCACCATCACCTGGACTCCACTTAAGCTCATGCCGACTGCTTCAGTGACTCCATCTAGCCACTTCATTCTCTGCCTTCCGCTTCTTTTGCCATCAATTGTTCCCAGCATTAGGCTCTTCTCCAGGGAGTCCTTACTTTTCATTAGGTGGCCAAAGTATTTGAGTTTCATTTTAAGTATCTGGCCTTCTAAAGAGCAGTCAGGGTTGATCTCCTCTAAGACTGACTGGTTTGATCGCCTTGCAGTCCAAGGGACTTGCAGGAGTCTTCTCCAGCACCGCAATCCAAAGGGCTCAATTCTTTGGCACTCAGCCTTCCTTATGGTCCAACTTTCACAGCCATACATCGCAACTGGGAAAACCATAGCCTTGACTATACGCACTTTTGTCGGCAGGGTGATGTCTCTGCTTTTTAGTATGCTGTCTAGTTTTGCCATAGCTTTCCTACCAAGGAGCAAGTGTCTTTAAATTTATTGGCTGCAGTCGCCATCTGCGGTGATCTTGGAGCCCAGGAAGATAAAATCTGTCACTACCTCCATTTCTTCCCCTCTATTTGCCAGAAAGTGATAGGACCAGATGCTATGATCTTAGTTTTCTTAATGTTGAGTTTCAAGCCAACTTTTGTGCTCACCTTCTTCACCCGCATCAAGAGGCTCTTTAGTTCCTATTCTCTTTCTGCCATTAGAGTGGTATTATCTGAGGTAGTTGGTATTTCTCCCGGCAATCTTAATTTCAGCTTGTGATTTATCCAGCCCCACCTTTCTCATGATGTACTTTGCATATAAATTAAATAGGGTGACAGTATACAGCCTTGCCAAACTCCTTTCTCAATTTTGAACCAATCAGTGGTTCCGTGTCTTGTTCTCACTGTTGCTTCTTGACCCGCATTTAGGTTTCTCAGGAGACAAATAAGATGGTCTGGTACTCCCATCTCTTTAAGAACTTGCCACAGTTTGTTGTGATCCACACAATCAAAGACTTTAGCATAGTCAATGAAGCAGAAGTAGATGTTTTCTGGAACTCCCTAGCTTTCTCCATGATCCAGTGTATGTTGGCAATTTGATATCTAGTTCCTCTGCCTTTTCAAAATCCTGCCTGTACTTCTGGAAGTTCTCAGTCCACATACTGCTGGAGCCTAGCTTGTAGGATTTTGAGCATAACTTTGCTAGCGTGTGAAATGAGTGCAATAGTGCAGTAGTTTGAACATTCTTTGGCATTGCCCTTCTTTGGGATTGAAATGTAAACTGACCTTTTCCAATCCTGTGGACACTATTGAGTTTTCCAAATTTGCTGGCATATTGAGTGTAGCACTTCTACTGCATTGTCTTTTAGGATTTTGAATAGCTCAGCTGGAATATTGTCATCTCCACTAGTTTTGTTGTTGCTCAGACTTCCTAAAGTCCATTTGACTTAACATTCCAGGATGTCTGGCTCAAGGTCAGTGGTTATCAGGGACATTCAGCTCTTTCTTGTATAGTTCTTCTGTGTAATCTTGCCATCTCTTTTTAATCTCTTCTGCCTCTGTTAGGTTCCTGCCAATTTGGTCCTTTATCATGTCCATCTTTGCACGAAACATTCCCTTCATATCTCCAATTTTCTTGAAGAGATCTCTGGTCCTCCCTATTCTATTGTTTTCTTCTATTTCTTCACACTGTTCACTTAAGAAGGCATTCTTAATCTCTTCTAGCTATCCTTTGGAAGTCTGCATTCAATTGGGTGTATCTTTCTCCCTTGCCTTTCACTTCCTTCTTTCCTCAGCTATTTGTAAAGCTTCCTCAGACAGCCATTTTGCTGTTTTGCATTTCTTTTTCTTTGGGATGGTTTTAGTTGCTACCTCTTGTACAATGTTGCGAACCTCCATCCTGTCCATGGGGTTTTTATGGCAAAGATACTGGAGTGGGTTTCAATTTCCTTCTCCAGTGGATCACGTCAGAACTCTCTGCTATGACCTGTCCGTTTTGGGAGGCCCTGCACGGCATAGCTCATAGCTTCATTGAGCTACACAAGCCCCTTCACCACGACAAGGCAGTGATCCATGAAGGGGTTTTCAGGTATATAGACTGCTTATACCAATTAAACTAATTATGCAGGTAGAAAGACAGCAAGGGTGCAAGAGCTAGCCAATGTATTGCACTGAGTGCCACATAACTTATCATCTGCCAAATAGGAAGAATCATGGATGTGTGCCTGATGTAATTTGTACGTTGCTCTCAGGGAACATTCATTCCCCTGAAGCCAAGGGTACTGACTTGAGAAAACAAAAAGGGGGGTAGACAGGCTGGATGATGGGAGGCTTCCTCTGAGGTCGGGGGCTTCTAGAATTGGGATGTTTGATCACTAGGAATACAGAAAGCTGGGTTTATGGAGGGCGAGTGGACTACATGGTGAATTGCCTGCCTGGTGCAAAGTTTGCAGTCCCATATTCCTTTGGGTATTGACTATAGCAGAGTCCTCACCATAGTCTCTGTCCACCTGTTAAAGTGTAGAGAATGGTTTGCCACAAGTAATTTCCTCCTTTCCTGCTGTATTAAGCCTGTTAAAACTACGCTTCTCCTTGTTCACATCCCACTGTTGCTTAAGAAATTAGCAAACTGTTGAGACTTGCTTTTTTATTAGTTTTGGAAATGTTAATACTGCATTTTTATGTCTCTTCATCCCTCATTGCCCCCATGTTCGCTGTGACAGGATGTACAAATACACTTCCAAGCGCTTTAAGACCCGAGCAGAGCAAGAAGTGAAAAAAGCAGAACAAATGGCTCGGATTGGTGAGTCCATGGGAACCTTTCCCCCCAACTGGTATGGGAGTCCTGTCCTCTTACAGCTTTGGTGACTGAAATTAGTCCAGTTGTCCATATGATTAGTCCCTAATGGGCAATAAAAGATAACCAAATCAGGAACAATACCAAAAGACAATTCCTATAGTAAAAGGAAGAAGAAAAAATGCCTGGATGGGAAATAGAGTCAGAATCCTGAATACAACTTTTCACCACCATCAAGTAGAGACAGGAAGAACAGTGCCCAGTGCAGAGAAACAGAACAGAGCTACAAAGGCTGTCTTCCAGAACATCCAGGAAATCAAAGAAAAAATCAAACCTAGGTAAGGCATGCGAAAACACAAACAGGAGAACGCACTATCCGACCCAAAGAAAATGAAGGTGAAAAATATATACAAAACAGCTATACAGAAAAGATGAAAGAATGCCAAGCTCCTTCAGAGAGGATCCTGTGAGGAAAAGCCTGTTGAAGTGAATGATGTTTTGAAAGCACTTGTAAAAAATAATTTGCGATCATACTACATATACACATTGGTTATTGGAGCACACCAAGGAATTTCAAGAGATCATCAGTCTGTTTTGTAGATTGCAGCAAAGCTTTTGACTGTGTGGATCAAGAGAAGGTATGGATGGTTCTGAAAGAAATGGGGGTGCCTCAGCACTTGATTGTCCTGTTCCTCTGTCATTCATTCATTCATTCATATTGCGATTTATATCCTGCCTTTTTCCTACAAAGGGCTCAAGGCAGCTTACATCATCTCTCTTCCTCCATCTTATTCCCACAACAACAACCCTGTGAGCTAGGTTGGACTGAGAGTCTGTGACTAGCCCAAAGTCACCCTGTTGGCTCCATGGCTGAGCAGGGACTAGAACCCAGATCACCTGAGTCCTAGTCGCATGCTCTTAACCACTACACCACACTGGCTCTCTATCATGCATCATGTCCACCAGCATTGTGGGCAAGAAGCTACTGTGAGGACAGAATATTGAGAAACAAAATATTTTCCATAGGTAAAGGTCTCAGATACAGGTGTATTTGATTTCTCTACCTGTTCAATCCATAGACAGAAAGTATCATGAGCAAAGCTGTATTGGGATCAGAGGAAGGAGTACAGATTGGTGGAAAATACATCAGTACAGATGTACATAAGCTGTACAGATGATACCATATTACTGCAGAAAGTAACAATGAATTGGAAGGACTGCTCATGCAGGTGAATGAAGAAAGTGCAAATGCAAGACTGAAATTTGAGTACAGAACAATTACAGCACTTTACTGGCAACAATGAAGAACTCAAAATCACAAAGATTTCATGTATCTCTGCTCAGTAATAATCCAAAGGAGGAAAATGCCAAGAAATTAGAACAAGTCTGATACTTAGAAGCACAGCAATGGCAGAAGTAGAAGCAATTGTTAAGTGTGAGACCATTTGACTTAAAAGCAAGGCCAAGATTACTTCCAGTATGTATTCCCAATCACTGTGTATGGAGGTGAAACCTGAAAAGGGAAGCAAGCTGGCAAGAAGAAAGTTGATATATTTGAAACCTGGTGGTGATGAAATTTGTGAATACCCTGAACTGACAGAAGGATGAACAAGTGGATTCTAGGTCAAATCAAGCCAAAGCTTTTCCTAGAAGCAAAAATGAAAAAAATTAGGCAGTCATTTTTGAGGGAAACTTCCCAGAGGGGGCAGTCATGTTAGGGAACATAGAAGACAGAAAATGAAATATGGATTATTTCTATAAAGGAAGTCACTGCCTTGGATTTACAGGAGCTGAACAGGACTGTAATAGATAGGACACTTGGCAGAGCTTTCATACATGGGAATGCTACAAATCAGCGACAACTTGACAACATTAAACAATAAAACAAAAGTGTAAACATAAAGCCAGAGCAGCAAGAGGAGAGAGCACCAAACCAAGCAACTAAATGCCCTTTGTTTAAAGCATAGATAAATAAACCAGTCTGCTTTTAGTCATACCCCAAAACTACCATGCATTTGAATCTAAAATTTTTGCTCCAATTAAATTCAGTCTATATGGATGTATTACTGGACCAAAGGTAACGTTTTTTTAATTGTGGCCTATCCTCCAGAAACCAAGGGTCATAAATATTTGAATGAAGACAAACTTTATTTGCTACCATAAATTTATGTTCAGTTGTTAATTTAAACAGGAAACATGAGAGAACTTAAGCAGTAAAATGTGAAATTAAAAGGGCTTTTAAAACATTTATTTTAATAATATTTGAATAAAACTAAGTGGTAGTACCAGTGTTGGTCCACAGGAATTCAAACATAACGGTCTAAAGTAGAAGGAAATTGAAAGCTAGCCCTGCTAAAGAATCAAAGTTAATATAGCAGACCATAAAAGTAAATAATAAATAAAATAAGCTTAATAAATAAATAAATAAAAGCAGAAGGGAAAAAACAAGAATATAAACTTTTACAAAAATACAGTAATTTTGAAAGTTTAGTGAGTAAGACATGATTTAAAATCAAACCACCGATCTGATCTTCCAGAGGTTTTTTTTGGGGGGGGGGGTAAAATTTTTCTTTCAGCATAGTTATGTTTAAAAAGTCAATAAAAACCCAGGAACATTGAAAGTTAAGTGTATTTTACGCTAACTTTTAAGCTTCCCCAGGTTTGTTGTCAATAAGAAGAAAAGTAAATATAGTAATAATGCATTAAAATGATTTCTTAACTCTGCTTTGCTCATTATATTGTTAAACTTTAGAATGTTAATACAGAACGTTCTCTCTAATGTTCTTTTTTATTCCATAACTGAGCAAGGACCTTTCAGGGAAAAGGTTGCATTTTTTAAATTTTACTTTTAATCAAGGAGAACTTTCAGTGTGCTGTTTTGTCTTTTGGAGATTCTAGCCTTCATTGGCTTCATGACTCCCAGCTTCAAAGAGAATCTATGTTTCACATCTTCACAATCTTGCACAAATTTGTTTGTATTTTTTTTAATCTCATGAAATCTTCCTATATATTACCTATGTAAAAATATGCTCAAATTTCATAGATAAGTGGAGAAGGTTTTGACAGGTATAAAACCAAAGTGCTTGGGACAGGAGATGGCCTCTACATTTTTCTTTTCCAGAGTACCTGGAGACATGAGGAAGTGTAGAAGAGGGTAGAGGAGACTACACACAATGTTTTAAAAAGAGGATCACTTCCAAAATACTTACCCCCGTTTTCAGGGAAAGAAACTGCTTTGTGTTTCAGCTGACACACTGTCAAGTGAGCAAACTAAATGCAGCCTTACTTGGTCAATATCCACAGATAATGCTTACTATGCTTCAACAGCAGGCACTTGCCAACACCTTGCTTTGGTTCCTCCACACTTGTGAAGAACCCCCAGAATTAAATACATAAATAAATTCACACATGTGTATCACCCCTAACAAACAAAAAGGGTTGCTCCAAAATGTCACTAGTTCATTAGTGGAGCAGTTGTCATAGGTGGTACCACAGGTGAGATTACCAAAACCAGTAAAGGGTTTTTGCTGCTCTTGTCAAACTGTCCATTTACCACTTCCCTCAACCCACGATGGAATTGGTCTCCCAGATTTGGATGACCTGCCAACCCATTATGTGTTCAGCGCCCCCTAAATAAGTCAAGATGATTCCTTGCTCAAAAATGAGGCAAGTTATAGGAAGTGGTCTATGTTTGCATGAAATAGTAATCTACCATGTTCTTTGCCGTGGTCTCTGTGCATCACACATTATGGGTGGATGCTGTGCCTGCACAGTGCCTGCAGCCAGGAAGAATTCAAAGCTTTAACGGATTTTGACAGGAGGGCTTTCTCTGCGGTGGCGCCCAACCTATGGAATTCACTCCCCAAAGAGGTCCGCCTGGCACCGTCGTTACTGGTTTTTCGGCGCCAGGTCAAGACCTTTTTATTTAAACATCATTTCAATTGTTAAAACATATGGTCTGGCCAGGGCAACTTCTTCTTCCTTCTCTTTCTCCTCCTATATTTTTATTTTATACTGAT